AATGGAGTAAGCGTTTTAAGATGGGGTTTGAATTCCAATATGGCAAACAGTGAACAGAAGTTACAATATCGACAAGTATAATGGATGGCAAACAGTCAACAGAAGTTACACCGTAGGCAAGTGTAATAAATGGTGAACAGAAGTTCCAATACTGAAACAGTGCAAGTCTCAGTGATTTAAGCAGGAATTGGATTGATAGTGAAACTTACAAAGGCAGCTGACTGAACAGCTATGGCTCTTAACAAGCATCTTAACTGTTAATTAGCCAGTTATTGGGGTAACCAGTTTTAGGAATGAATATTGTTTCATTCATAAAACTTTACTTATGAAGTTACATTAATAAAGTGAACAATTAAAAACAATTTAATTCATCAGTCCTACATGACAAAGCCTGGTTCTGGTCCCCTCCATGCTGCAGCCTGGTTCCTTGTCTCTTAATCTGTCTCCAGGGTTTTTCCGGTCCTAGTTGTCAATTATCCTAATGCCGCGGTTTGTGACCCTTCTCTCAGGGAGACTGTCACCGTTTCAGGGTAACTGCATCTCTATCCCACCTCCATCAGGTCATGCCCTGAGTGGGTCTGCATAGCTACAGCCCTGGTCCAGCAGCCTGTCACCCGCACCACGCTGGGTCCACCAGCCTTGATCACTACTTTCACGGTGACCCCAACACACTCCCAGTCCTGGACTCCCCCCAGCCCCAAACGTGTTCTGCACTGTCCAGCCCTCTCCAGGACAGTCCAGATCTACTTGGTCCATGGCCCCTCTAAGGGCATCAACATACACAGTCTGCTACCTTACATAGTTACCCAAACAAGTCACAGCCCTGGGTTAGTTGTAATTAAAGACTAAAGCAAGTTTATTTACTTACAAAGAGATTTTAAGTGAGTACAAGTAATGAGGCATTAGTCAGGAATGGTTACAAGAGCAATAAAGATAAAATGCTTTCTAAATTTACCAAACTAGACTTGGTTCAAGGAGAAGTCCCTCACCACAGGTTCCCAGTAACATTGCTGACCAAACTCTCAGGCCAGCATCTGCTTCCAAAGTCCAATGGTTCTTTCTTTTGCCCTCTTAGGTGAAAAGAGGGAGAGAGAATTTGGGATATTTTTGTCCCTCACTTTTATAGTCCAGTCCCCCTTTGAGATGCAGTTTCCTGAAGGACACCCCCTCAAAGCAAAGTTTATTCCAACAGTAAAGAAGGCGACATGATGTCTGGTGGAGAAAAGTTCTGTGCTGTTTCTTCTCTCCTGTTTCCTGAAATGCAGATTTTCCTTGTCTCCTGTCTTCCCTCTCTCGCTGTCTGAGGACCCTGTTTACAACTTACATGTGAACTGAGGGAAACACACATTCCTTTAAAAAGCAACAGAGGGTCCTGTGGCACCTTTAAGACTAACAGAAGTATTGAAGCATAAGCTTTCGTGGGTGAATGCCCACTTCATCAGTCTTGTGTTAGTCTTAAAGGTGCCACAGGACCCTCAGTCTGAATCTGTAAAAAGCACCAAACACAGCTACCCCTCTGATACTTGACACATTCCTTTGTTTAAGATCTGCTTGACCAGTTCTTCCTAATCAGGGCAATATGCGTTAGAACGTGTGCCACCAATATCATTTAGGGGGAATTCATAACTTTACATATAATGTTGCTACATCCATTTCCCCATGATATTATTGACCAGCGAGTTGTTAGTTTTCAAATGATGCCTTAAAAGGTGTATTTTGTATAAAGATTATTACAATAGTGTGTAGGGGTGTGAATATTATTTTATTATTACAATAGTGTGAATATAGCTGTGGTCACCCTCCCCCATGGAGCAGAACACAAGCAGCGAGAAGCCATTCATAAATTTGACACACTGGTCCCCAAAGAGACTGCAGGGGGTTGCAATATCCCAGATTCTCAGACCCCCTCACTGCTGGGGATCGTCTCTTCAGCGCCAGCCTGAAATTTCCCCCCTTGCTCAATTCATCCCATTGGCTCCTGTTGCTCCCTGGTGCCTTTAATGATTTCTTGCCCTTCTGGGGTTTGCACCCTTCAGACTGGGACATGGCTCCTTGCTGTATCCACAAACTGCAACACGTTCCTGTCTGCAGACAGCCTCCCTGCAACTCCTGGGGTGCCATAGGTTGGGTTTGGCCTTGGGGTGTTGGGTTCTACATAGTGTTGGCACTTTCAAGCTCTGTCCACCTCCGCTATCTACAGCCAGCACTGCAGCTGTGCTGCCCTGTGAGATACAGACTGTGGGTGTCTTCATGCAAACCCAGCCTCTGAATTGTGTTTGGGAGCCTCCTTTTGTGACAATGTGGACCTAGAGACAGCTTGACACGCATTTTTTTTTTTTCCAGGAGGCTCCTCTTTCCCCTCCCTGCCCAAACTTTTGTGCTGCCCCTGGTCACTGACTGCCCATTCTCACATCCGCAGGCTGCACTTCAGGGATAGATTTCTTTAAGGAACTTTTTAATGTAAAATATTTTCTTACATGTGTTTTATAAAGACACTGCAGTGCTGGAATGTTAATTTTAAACAAATGCTAATTGCAAATTCCAGAGGGTAGATTGTTGCTGCTTGAGTTAGGGGCCTTCTCTGCAGCTTTTTAGACTCTTGAAGGTGTCTGAACTATGTAACCTGGCTCTGCAATATATTTGTTGTACTCACATCTGCTTATTAGGTATGTTGAGCTCTTTCCTGGGTATGGATTCTGTTGCTAACAGGAAACTGTCCTAAAATAGGACATAAGAACATAAGAACGGCCGTACTGGGTCAGACCAAAGGTCCATCCAGCCCAGTATCCTGTCTACCGACTGGCCAATGCCAGGTGCCCCAGAGGGACTGAACCTAACAGGTGATGATCAAGTGATCTCTCTCCTGCCGTCCATCCCCACCCTCTGACAAACAGAGGCTAGGGACAATGATGATACTAAACTGCTCAAGATATCTTGAGGATATGTAGGGCTAATCTATTAGCAGTGTTCCAGAGCAGGGATTCAAATCTGGTGCACTAACCACTTGGCTATTGGATGGAGTTAACTGCTGTCTCCTCCTCCATCCTCTTGTGAACCTAGCCTGAATTTTTTTAATGATTATTTTATTTTGCCTGAATCTATTCAGTGAATTCAACACCAGTTTGTGAACAGTCTTGTTCGACCCAAAACTGCATTTTTTGACAAATAAACTATTTAGTGGAAAATTTCCCCGAGCTCTACTCGTGATGTCACTTCACTAGTTCTCCCTTCACTATAATCTTCCACCCCAGACAGGTCCTGAATTTCAAATGCCAGAAAAGCTTTTTGTGCCATCTTGATTCATAGATTCATAGATTCTAGGACTGG